GCCCAATGGTTTTGTAGAAGGTATAATAATATTTTTCTTTTTGAGAATTCGTTTCTCTTGTAATTTTGTTTCTATCTCTAACATTAAAAATGTATGGTCTTTTCTGTTACAGAGTCTAAAGAAATCACTTTCCTCTTTTTTTCTTGATGACTATTGAATAAACTTCATTTAAATTAAGAGAAGGCTTTATAAACATAACTTGAGCTTTAACTATCTTACATGACATATTTAGTCCCATAAGGAACTTCATCACCCAATCTTGTTGTTAGTATTCAACTAGGATTTTTAGGCCTCTGCATGTACAGTTTGGAATGAACTTATAATTCATTAGCTCATTAAAGAACACCTTTATTTTGGAAAAACATGTGTTCACTGAGTTTTGATTCTACATAAGGTTAGGAATGATTTATTCTACCTCTTATATCCTGGTGGCATTTCATTTTGAATGTCTTTGTTACAACTCAACATATAGCTGGTAAGCAGTGTCGGTATAAAGTGTTCCACACTTGATGTCGGGTGTCAATGTATTTTATATTTAAGTAATCACGATGTCGTTACATCATAATCGGTGATCCATGAACAAATCGTTGGAATCTGTTGTATTTTTAGAATGTCATATGTTAATCCTAGTTCATTTTTTATTCTTAAAGTTTTCCTTATAAACCTAACCCATGAATAATAGTTTATTGCATCTAGAGGTTGTGCTATAAGTAATGCACTCGAACTATCATTATTGCCTATATAATATTGAATATTAAGGTTTATGTGATTGAGAATATTACCACTTATTAGAGAGATTTCTTGATGAATGGTTGAACCTCCCATTTGAGTCGAGATTTATCTGTCGATATGCTTTGATACTATATCAAAATTTGTTTGTAAAAGAAATCTTCATATAGCAATTGATGGATCTGCAAGAAAAACACAGAAGAAGCAGAAAAAAATCCAATAAAAAAAGTAATAAGAGTGAACGGCTAAAGAAAAGCTCTGGTAGAACTTTTACGAATAGAGAATTTAATTTTTTCTCGATACTTCTCAATGTGTATAAATTAGATGTTTATACCTAGAGTTTTCTTAAATAATATGATATTCTTACATCATAATTACACGATAATATCGTCTCCCAAACATATCTTTAAGTGGGCTTCTCTTAGAAAAATTTCCACATGGGCTTTATTCTTTAGGCCGGATCACATATATTTATATTATTTTTTAGGGTGGATCACATATATTTATATTCCTTTTTAGGGTGGATCACATATATTATCATTCCTCTGTAGGCTCGATTACATTTGCTTTGGTTTGGGCTTTCCTCTTCAGCTTGTTGTGCTCCAATTTTCTCTTCAAGTTGTTGACTTTGGGCTCTTCCTTGTGGGCTTCTCAACATGGGCTCTTCATATTTTAACACTAAATGTAAACTAATAGCCATGAAAAAAGACCTAACCTACAGATTTCATCACCCTTTTTAGCTTTTACAGAATTATTGGATTACACATGCTAAATATATCTATTTCAGTATATTGTGTATCGCAAAACATGCTTTCATGTGGAAAAATTCATATCATAGTCACCATTATACATTAAAAACAGATGCAAAAGCTGCATTTCATCTAGGCTTTACGCCCATCGATTAGTGTACTAATCATATCCACCGTTCATTCTCAACCAAAAGGAGCATAAAAGAAGACGTACCCATCAATATCATTCAGCAAGCAACTCACATTTTAATTCGTTAATCCATCAAAGGAAACCAAGAGCGATAAAGACTCATACTGGAAAGTTCAGATGAGTATTCCCCTCTTTCATTGACTCCTCATCATGATATAAGTACGACTCATGAATAATGTGCTCGATATAAATTCAAGTAACATTGGAAACGGAAAATTTTTTGCCTCGTAACTCTCAGATTTTTCTCATTCTCTCCCTTTCGACTTCATATCTTCAGCTCTCACATTCTTGGGTTCAACATTTTCTTCTTTCTTCTTTTTTAAGTTCAACTCTCTCAGTCTCTCGGGCTTGCTTGCTCGAGCCAGCCAAAAGTCCCCCCTTTTCCTCTTGGGTTCTCTCCTTTTATAGCCGAAGGGGACTTCAGAAATATTTTGGATCCTCGAAAATCTTAACATGCTTGGGTCGTTTTCATCCCTTGATCTCCAGCCTCACTTGTGTTGACCTTAGTTCCTTTGTCCTCCTCGAACAAATCTCCATCACCAAAACGAGAAAACCATTTCTATGCCTTGTCCTTTTGTTCTTTCTTTTCTCAGCTTTCAACCCTTTTGACCTTTAGCTTGAAGCTCTGCCATCTTGTCGTCTGCTTGCTTTGTTTCCTTTCCTTTTTAGTGTAAAAATGATCTAGCCTCTTGTTTTTTGGTGAAAATCTAGAACGACGTTCCCCCTTACCTTCACATGCCATGGTTTGGCACTCTGCCATTTCTTCTTCTTCTTTGTACGGCTCTCTCTTTTTCCCAAGTCACCATGCCTGCAACAAGATAGAGAAAATAAAAAGAAAGCGGCGTCGTTTGGGACAAATAAAGATCTTCTTGAACCACGCCGTTTTGGTGGTCTTTAATTTGGCATTCATTTCCCTCTAAACGTTGCCGTTTCGACGCTTTCAGCAAGAGTTGGGCTTATGCCCGAGCTGGACCTGCTTTGGGCTTCTCCTCTCTTTTTCTTTTTTTTTTTTTTTAATACGCTTTTGGTTGTCGGGTCCTGCAATTTGTTCGTGTGTTTGGTAAAGATATAACTTACAAGTTGATAATTTTGCTAAAATGAAAAAAAAAAAAAAAGCAATTCTATTACTTTTAATCACTAGAACAACTATAATGTACTCTTTGTGGGCATTTATTTATACCTATATGTGTAGAAAAATTAAAAACCTAAAGTACTAATTTTAAATTGTTTTTATTTTATGCTAATATTTAATTTATTTAGTTTAATTTCATTACTATGTTAACATTAATTTGAGAATATATATTATTTGACAAAATAAAATTTTAAAAATATTAACTATTAATTAAGAAATAATTTATTTTATAGTGGATTAGTGAAAGAAGGAATAGAATGAAAAAAATAACGGAATATCATAATTTCTAACATTGAGATATATGTTAGAATTTTATAATTATGAATAATTAAGTTTCGATTAATAATAACATTTTTAGATAGTTAATTAGCTGTCTAGAATAAAAATTAGGTTACTAATAACTTCTTTAAAATATTGTTATAATTTATTTTATTTATAAGCTTTTGATTATAAACACACGCCTAAAAAGAGCAAGAAATCAACTAAGCTAAACACTCTACTTATGAACACTAAATTTTTTATTTGAATGCAATATTATTTAAATAATAATTATGGTTTAAAGTTTTTATATATTAATTTTAATTTAATATTTAACACACTGTAATTTGATGTTGTAAGCTCAAACAAACAGCAATGCCACTCATAATTATACATGGTTTGTGGGTTATGTAATTTGAAGACATAACAAAGGTTTCTTGGGTTGCTTCTTGGGTTGCTAATCTGGTAAAAGGCCTTAATTAGCAGCCCATAAGTTGTTTGAGAAATTGGCTCACAGAAAATTAAAGCACACATTCTGGTCCATTCCATGTATCCTTTTCCCTTGTACAATAAATCATTCCTCCACCCAACCAAATCTAATTTTATATCTGAAAGAGTTGAAGCAATATATGTCCATTTCTCTGAAGCAAACAAGTAAAACCCAGGTGAGGTTTCCATGGTAAAATGCCTCCAAATGATAAAATATCACTTAAATTGGGTAGTTGGCCTAGAAATTTTATGTTGGTTTTTGTCCCCAGAAGATAAAAACAACACATGAATACGCTCTGTCCAACTAGAGAACTTGTCGGAAATCTAAATGGGATTCTAATTGTCAGGGAAGTGCATGTTCAATGCATGGTACAATTAATTAACTGCAAAAAACCTAGTCACGACATACGTTACAGCACGATATATTTGCATGGGAGACTATTTTCAAAATAAATCATGCAGGGAACGAGTTATGCCTATCACCAGTAGTTAAGCTCTTGGGCTCTTTCGGGCTTTCTCCAAATTTTTTTTTGTGCCGGCACTAAGTGTGTGACTAAGCTATAAATCCAAGATTTCTGTAGTTCAAATTCCTTGAACGCAATTCGGAATTGGATCAATCACATCATTTCTCTTGATTTTCCATATGCTTTCTCCATTTGCAGTGTTTCTTAATTTCCCAGCTTGTTCCTCTGGAAAATGTCAAACTTGAGTCAAACTACTGATTTGAGGAAAAGGAAGAGGAAATCGGAAAGTGGTTTCAGGTTCAAGACTTTTGGTGAACATGGTTGCCCAGTTGAGTTTGAGGGGCCATTGCCGTTTAGGTATAATTTAGAAGCATTACTTGAATATGGAAATTTGGAGAGTAATTTATTTGGTGGAATGCAAAGCTGGTCATTTCAGCTTGAAGTCCATCGCCATCCTCCATTCCACATTCTCTTATTTGTCGTGGAGGAACCCATTGAGGCTTCAATCAACATTCACTGCAAGCACTGCCAATACGTTGGTGAAGTCTTTTATCCTAGCTAGCTCCATAGTTACTATATATTTCCTGTTTTAATTATACATGAGGGATTTGATGTTATATATGCAACTTATGCTATGTAATGTATGTATATGCGGTGCAGGGTGGGGGCACCATATGATCTGCAACAAGAAGTATCATTTTGTGATACCTTCCAAAGACACGGTGACTGCTTGTTTGAACTGTGAAGGTGGGTGTGATGTGGTAGATGTTGCAAAGGGTAAGTTGAACTTTGTGGAATTACAGGGTCATATTATGCATGGTGTGTTTCACTCTAATGGTTTCGGCCATTTGCTTTGTATCAATGGAGTCGAAGTGGGTTCGGATTTGACAGGACACCAGATCATGGAATTTTGGGATCGTCTCTGCACTGGATTGAAAGCCAGGTTGCCCTATTTCCTCTCAAATACTTTTAGTATACACATATTTGAAGTATTTTTTAATCATACTTGTTGATGATTGGATAGGAAAGTGAGTTTAAATGATGCATCACAGAAGAGAGGCATGGAGTTGAGGCTCCTTCATGGGGTTGCATATGGTGAGTCATGGTTTGGTCATTGGGGATACAAATTTGGACGTGGAACATATGGAATTACCCAACCTGTTTATCAGAAAGCAATTGAAGCCATACAAGGCATGCCGCTATGTTTACTAAATCATCATCTTGCTAATCTCAACCTTGAAATTCCAGTCATTTTTTCAAGGTACCAAACACTATCAGACAATTCATTGGCTACTCTTGGTGATCTTTTCCACTTTATGCTAGAACTTAAATCCTGCCTTCCAAAAGATCAAAGCTCCATTGATTCCTACAATCAAGGAATCCTCGTTGAAGCTAATTGTAGATGGTCAGCTAAGCGAGTTGAAATGGCAACTAGAGTGATTGTAGAAGCACTAAAAAGCGCAGAATTCAGGTGGGTTTCAAGGCAAGAAGTCAGGGACGCTGCTCGTGTATATATCGGTGATACAGGTTTACTAGATTTTGTGCTCAAGTCGCTTGGAAATCAAATAGTTGGGAACTACCTTGTTCGTCGTAGCTTAAACCCGGTAACAAAAGTACTAGAATATTGCCTAGAAAAGATCTCTGATGTAATCTCTAACCAAGAAGCCAATTTGGTCATCAATAATTCTAATGTCAAGGCTCGATACAAGGTCACAAAAGCTCAACTCATGAAGGATATGTTCTATGTGTTTAAGTACATTTTGAAAGACCACAATGCAGCAATGAACACTGGGTTGTTTAGTGCAATACCAGTGGCTACAAGAGTGATTCTTGACACCAAATACTTCGTGAAAGATCACTATTGTGGAGAGATTTCTTCAAAAGTTGAACTAGGTTTTGAACCAAAACTAAGACTCTATTGCACGGTCATATTAAAAGGCCATGAAAATACAGGAACAACAACAACAAAGAGGCCATTGCTACCATATGAATGCATAACCATGAAAAGCAACGATACATTTGATGACCTTAACCTGGAAGTGGAGAGAAATTTCAGAGAGATCTACTGGGGACTGAGGAATTTAGAGGTAGAGTCAATAGTGAATTTAAATGGTGGGAAGGGAACAGATCTGGTATTCGGAGTGGTTGAAGTGGGTAGGAAAATAATTTTAGAAGGAAGCTGCAAGAAAGATGGAGGAGTTGTGAAAGAACTTATATATGAAAGTGGTGTAAATAACAGGATTGTGGATTGCCCCTGTGGTGGGAAAGAAGATGATGGTGAAAGAATGATCTCTTGCGATATATGTGAAGTTTGGCAACATACGAGGTGTGTTCGTATTCCGAATAATCAAGAAGCCCCGCATATTTTCCTCTGCAACCGATGTGAGCGAGAGATCGTACCTCTTTCTTCACTCCCATAACCATGCATGTAGATCTCTACTTTCTCGTTTTGTTAATTTCCAAAAAAAAAAAAAAAAGGAAAAGCAGTTTCCTGTTTTATCATAAAGATACGAGTCAATTTTCAAGTGAAGAAAAAGAAAACATATTTCATGAGGCAGCGTGATCGGGCTCATGAGCCCAATAATTGACATGGGCTAAATTATTCATTTGGGTTTTTACTTTAATTAATATCCAAATTAAACCAACAAAGACAAGAACAATAAGAAGAGGAAATTATTTTCACCATAATTAAGGGTTTTCAAGGTTATTTATTAGTTCAAGCAATAACATATCTCATTTGTTGCACATGAAATTTTGTTGTTATTATTATTATTTGCAAATTTTGTAAAATACTTTTAGTCAAATCGTTGAATATCACTAACATTATCTCTTTGTTTATCTGTTGATGCTGATCTTATTATCCTTATAAACTTATTTATAATTAATTTTATTGCTAAAAGATATGAGGATTTTGTTGGGTGATCTCTTGAGGGAAGTGATAACTTGAACATACAATTTTACCATGTACATATAAACACACCGGATATTAAAAAAAAATAATAATAATAATTCCGACGGGGGCAATAGGTCACAATTATACGAGCATGTGGGTTATAAATCTAATATAATTAAAGATGACAAATAACACACATAATCATAGCTTAATTAAAATAACAGTTTAATTCGGAATTGAATCACTCCTCCATCTATGCCGCCCAATTCTTGTCGGCTTGACGTTAAATTAATAACGAAATAACCTAATATCACAAAAGCCCATATGCATGAATGGACGTGAGCTAGAATGTTAGATTTTTTAAAAAAATAAAAAAATAAAAAAAAATTAACAGAACAATATTAATCAATTCTATATGTAACTTTCATGAATGAAGGGACATCAGGTAGAAACTTAAAGATTACTCACTAACAACCACTATATGTATATATTATATCTATCTATATATATATATATATTTAATTGGATTTCAAAATAATAAGAATTTGTTGTACCTTTATATTTTCCTTTAAACAAGAAAACTTTTGAGTATCATACTACTAGAATTCGCCATGCCTTTTTCTCCTCCCCGAAAGCTCTATAGTACCAAATTGTTTCCTCTTGATATTCAAAAAAGCCATCCTTGATTATAGGTTTTGGTTAACTACAAGTATAATATTTTTAGAGATGAGCAAAACGTATATGTTTTCTTCCTCACCTACAAAAACTTCAAAACAAATCAAATTATTCATTTGTATCTCTATCCCATCTTCTAGAGAGAGAGAGAGAGGCAAGAATATTTATAGTTTCTAATTATTAGTACTATATGATTCCATATTATTGATTTGGGTTGCTTCTAGCCTCGCTTCACATGGTGTAGATAGAGGAGGGTAATGGCACAACTAGATAAAGTTTATAAGTATAATTCTGGCGTTGGTTACTTCAGTAACATTAAATTTATTAATATTTTATGATTACATTAGGGTATGCAATATAATCTAATCGTGTTCATGATCTTGAAGGATGATAATAAGATAAAGAATGTGTAACACTTTAAATATAAATTTATTAATATTTTATGATTACATTAGGGTATTCACTATAATCCAATCTTGTTCATGATATAGAAGAATGATAATAAGAAAAAGAATGTGTAAAACTTAAATGTAAAATAGATTGTAAAAAGGACACAAGATTAATCCTTTCTTTTGGAGTAAGGCAAATGATCCTCTAAATTGATATAGAAAACTTCATTGACTAGGACATTATGTCAAAGGGCAAGGTTTTTGGTGATGTTGTTCACTATAAAGACAGAGTTTTTGTGGGACCTAAACAAACAAATGATTTTAGAATATAAATTTGTGTTTGAATAGAAGAAAATTTTCTAATTTTAAAAAGCTAATGTTCCAAAATTTAAAAGTGAAAAAAAAAAGAATAGAAAATACCATAACAAATATGATAACTCAAATGGATAAAAAACATTATAGGCACTTAAGGTAGTCAGATTTTTAACAATGACTTAACAAGTTCATGTTGTTTCTTACAATCATTAACTCTCTAAGGATGATGATTTTAGTTATACGAACTTGAAGAGTTTGGTCCTTTTTTTGTGCATTGGTAACAATGTCTTAGCATTTGCTTTTTAGAGACCTAAAGTTTACTAGAAGTAATACTTCTTCATTTGACATGTACCCATCTAAAGCTCTACGCTCAGATGAACTAGTCATCAACTTTTTTAAAAAATAATAATAGACGAGAAAGTTGAGTGTATTAGATTGTGTGACTATTTACTTTAAGAATAAGACAACAATTGAGAAATTAAAATAAATCAACTTAATATTAATTCCCAAACTTCACCAACAAAAAAAAAAAAAGGTAAACGAGATTGACAAGCTTATGTAATTAGTTATAGAATCATCATATATATTATTTTTTGTGAATGTGGATTTCAGACAAACTAAATTGTAAGTAATCTTTCTAGTATTTACTTTACTAATGATCTCAAATAATATTTTGAGGTGCATTTAAGCTATCAAAAGGCATTCCATAACAAATCCCATGTATCATTAATAAAATTTAGTGGAGATTTTCAAAATAAAAATTTAATTATTTTATATAAAGTGAGAATCATACTCATAAACTTTATTTAGTTACTGAAATAAAGACATTAAAGTAGCAGCTCATTTAAAAAATTAAAATTTGATATAGGATAAAAGTTTCTTAAAAATGTTCACATGGTCGGATCTTAACTAACTTCAAGAATGTTAGTAATAATGAACTCGACAAGTCAATCAAATTAAATGTGGATAGATTATTATTGTTATATGACTTGATGAGTTCAAAGATATATTTATTAAATATTATATGATAATATTATATAAGAATTTCTGTAAGTTGCTTAAAAATAATAAAATGTTGTATACTATACAATGTCAATATAATTATAATAAGATCACAATAGTAAGAGTTATTATCTTTAAATATATGAATTGACTCTATTTATTCAGATAGATTATAAATTATGTTATTTAAAATAACTGTATTGAACGAAATAACTGTAGATTTTTTATAACAATGAGAATAATAAATATAATATCTTAAAATAAATCTATAACAATGAGAAATAATAAGTATTAAGTCTTAAAATAAATAAAGTATAAGTTGTATAAATTAGATCATAATTTATGATCTTTATTAAGTTAAAAAGTATTAAAGATAAAAAAAATAAAAAACAATTTTGATGGTCATCCTAAAACCTTATCATCATTCCAACCTCTTTTTTTAAGGAAAAAAAAAAAAAAGCAAGAAGGATTTTATTTGCTATAGGTTGGTAAAGAATTTATAAATTGTCTCCATGTAGAAGCTTGGTCCCTGTCATAACTTCCACCTTCGCTCAATTTTAAAGCGTTTAAATAACCGTCTCTCTCACTAACAGTAACCACATG